TTTCTGTACTTCTAATTAATGATATCAATTGATAAACTAACGGCTTAAACTAAATAATCCAAGAACAACGTTTGATTATAAGCAAACAGCTTTAACTCAAATACTTAGCATACTCAAGTCTTTCGGTTTTAAAATAAACAATAGCATTAATTAAACAAGTAGCTCTCGTGTTTTCGTTTAAAATAAATTAAATTAAATTCAACTAATAAACAAGCACCTTTACAGGAATGTTTAAGTACGCCTAGGTCTTGACAATTTTAATTTATTATGATTTTAGTAAACAAACAAGTGCTTATAACAAGTTTACCCAGTACATTCTACTCTTTGCATCTTAAATTAACTAAGATATCAATTAATACACAAGCACCTTAAACAGAATTATCCAGTACGCTCAAGTCCTTCCCATTTTAATTTATTGTGATATTAGTTAATTGAAACACGCTTATAACATAAATGACCCAGTACGATCTTGTCTTTTTATACTTGTAATAATCAAAAATGTCGATTAATAATCCAGCACCTGAAACAGAATCATATATTATACTAAAATCTTCTACATAAAAAATTATTATGATGTTAGTAACTAAACAACTACGTTTAACCAAATGATTTAGTACGCTTTAGTCTCCCAATGTTTAAAGAAATAATTCAAGGCACTTTTGTCTTTTTGTTCATTTTAAATAATAGTAATTATTACGTTAGGGATCTCGATTCAACAATGCATTACAATCATATATTTGGATTTATGTATAATATTTGCATGTTGCATGGATATTTTGTCACATAAATATTGTAATTTTTTTACGTCTCAATATTTTGAAAACTGACAGTAATATTTATGAATAACCAAGCTCCTTCTTCAATGTTAGATGGTAAGTATTAAATTTATTATTATTTTTGGTTGTAAATGCAATAAATAATTGGTACAGAATAAAATTTGATAAAAGAATTCGTGTGCACTGCCTTACGTGGTTCCAATAACTTTTTTAAGAACAGTTCTAATTAACTAACAGTAAATCTTAGAGATAGGTTAACAAGCAGCTTTAAATACTTGTTTCATATTACAGTTGTAAATAATAGTAAGTTTTGGAGTTCGAAACATAAATAAAGTCAAATAAACAGAATTGTATGATAAATTTTGCTTAATCGTTGCTAAATATCAGTTGTAAATTATCAGTTAGTCAAGGCATCTCTATATAAATTTGTACTGTTACTTATTTAAATTAAAAAAAAAAGCACATTTCGTTATTAAAACGGAAAAGCTTTATTATTATACTTTTATTTCACATTTTTCTTAACAATAATTTGTTGTAATCATTGCTAATAAAAATAGTTTTGTGTTCAGCGTTCTTAAAAAAAAGGCATTTAATTATTTATGAACATTACTAAAACTTTCCAGAAGTAACGATGTTAATAAATTACAATATTAACATGAGAATTTATCCATACAATATATAAATATCACACAAAAATAAATAAAAACAACAGATATGCATAGTTAAATCGAAACCCTTAATAGGTCATTAGCATCATTATATACAATTAACAAACAAGTCTCAAGCACACATGATTAATTTTTTATTGGGCTTCATTGTTAATTAACATTTAATTTTTTACAAATTAAAAAACTCGAATCTACTCGGTCATTTATGTTTTCAGCGCTTGTTAATTAACTAACACAATAATAAATCAAAATAGGAAAGACTAGAACACACTGGATTGTTCCGTTAAAGGTTCTTGATTATTAATTGACATTTTTATTTATTACAAGTATAAAAAGACAAGATTATACTAGATTATTTATATTATAAGCGCTTGTTAATTAACTACGACTTTTTTTAAAGCCCTCAATTTATAAAACTCAAATAAACATTAATTGTCAATACAATTTTTGAAAGCATGAATTAATTTTAATAAATAAATGTACTAAGACAGTAGCTGTAAAAAAAAAAAAATACGCAGAACCACTTGGCTACGGCATGATATGTTTAAGGTGGTACAGATGTAATATATAAGCTGTTCAAGTGGGCTTGGAGTAATGATGCACAGTACATGGAGAGGGAGAGTAGGAGTAGGGGAACTGGGCTACAGACTCTTCCGAGCTGTACTCTAGTAGCAGTGGCCTATAGCCTGCGGGTTTCTAGAATACTAAGCTCTGCTTTGAGCGGGATGCCGTTTCGTCTGGCATTACAGCCTAGAGTACTGAACTCTGCTTTGAGAGGAATGACATCACTGGTTCTAAGAGTGCTCGTTTTAATGCCCTGTGTACGTGTGTTTGTGTTTTATTATGTTTCATGCAAAGAAAGAGGAGAGAACGACAGAGACATATAGCCAGTGAGACGAGAAAAGGGAAGCGCAAGCGGGAAAAGCAAGAATAAATAGAAGAAATGTGTAATTAAAGGGATATAAGTGGTGTTAAAGTTAATACTGTGTGCGCAGATATATTTGTAAGTGTACATTTTAGTGTGAATTGGTAGATTGGTGGGAAAACAGATGAGTGACAATTTGTAGCGATTATTGTAATTATTGATTGTATTTTTAGTGTCTTCTGTAAAATTTTAATGCGCCAGGAATATAGGGAGTTTGTGTATATACGTGTAGTTAAGGGGGAAAACGAGACGTGTGCGAGCTAGGTCGTATGAGAGAAGTAGGGAAAAGAAAGAGATAGAAGAGATGTCGCGGCAGTAGGACACGAGCAGCGAGACTGAGAGGACTCCTTGACGGGCCTTTGAGAGGGAAGGATGTAGAGCGTGTGCACCATCGAGACGTCATCCAACCTACGTCTATCACTAGCTCATGGCGATCTATGGGAGGCATCATCTACAGCCGGGCCTGAGACTACGCATTTACGAGGTGCTGGATCGACATCACGAGGAGACGACTCCGACATCTACCCTGGAGATGGTGGTCTGGAGGTATTTCGCGTAGTGCGTGGTAAGGTTAGCGATCAGTGGGGAAGACAGGGAGAGGGACATAGCGCCGAGGTGAGGTTGAGCGAGTGTAGGATGTGTCAAGGATAAGGGTAAGATAAGAGCGTGTGTGGTTGCCGGTACTGTGGCTTTCTGCGTGGTTGAGGAGGAGATTAAGACATGTACGCAGGTGGGGGTTCAGCGAGGTTGCTAAAAGAGTGAGAGAGAGAGAGAGAGAGAGAGAGAGAGAGAGAGTTAGTTTGTTCGAGAGGAAGACGTTCGGGTTGGGGAAGAGAGCTTGGTGGGCGTGATTGCTTGCATTGCGAGTGAGTCGATGCATTCGAGATGACGGGAAACTGTAGCACTGCATGAGAGAGTGTGAGTGTGTGGGTATTCAAAGCGAAGCGTTGTCTGAGTCTTGGCAGTCGGCGAGAGGTCGACTGTCCGCTGCGGTAGGATGTCGTAGAGTGTGTATGTGTGTGTGCGTGTAAATATTTTCAGCGTTGTCTGAGACTCGGTAAACTGGTGGGTAAGGCCGACGGTTGGACTCCCTGCGACAATAAGTGTGCGCATTCACAGCATTATCTGAGACTCGGCAGACCAGCTGGTGAGGCCGCTGGTAGGACACCCTGCGGACCAAGAAAGGATGTGTAGTGTGTGTTCTCGTCATCAAGTTGATGCGTGAGGTAGCTCGTGATCGAAGGCGTTTCGTAATGGCCAAGTACTCTCGTAATCGAACCGGGTTGTCGTAACCTCGGAAGGAGCTATTCTCTAGGTCGAGTGTGGTTAATTTTTATCTCAATTTACAGTAATAATGTCAATAAAAAATGTAATGTTAGTCAATAACACTATAATTATAAAGTTTTATTATATTTACTATGTACAGTTCTAACATTTAAAAATTTTTTTCATATTTCAACTTTAATGCTTAAAATGGCTTACACATTTTTTCTTAAACTGCTATACGACTTTTACTTTGTTGCATTCGTGATTAAGTAATTTTTATGCATCTGTATGTAAACTTTTTCTTTATCTATGCCTAGAAATGTTATTGATATTTTTAATGTATTGTTTAGCCACAAAGGGCTGTATGTGCAATGATAGGACTTAACGATTCATTTTATTTTTCAAAAAAATTTTTGCCAGTAAGACACTAAGAGCAACCCTTTTTTACATCTTTTTTATATTGAATTTTGTTTTTATTGTAAGAAGTCTCTTATGATGACAATACTCAATTGCCAAAACATCGGATAAATGTAATACATTATAATAATGAATAGCCCTGCTCAACCAACCAAACTGTCGTTCATTTTTTATATTGGATTCCATAAAACTCAACAAGTTTCAGATGATTGGAGATGTTATAATTCATTTCAAATGTATTGTACATGCCATCACGTAAAACTGTGGTTCCTACATAAACATAAAAATACCATAAAAATAATTTAACAAATAAGCGACAACAGAGCAGGACTAAAAAGTATAAATAATTAACTTATCTGTTAGATTAGATCTAACTTTCTATCAGGGTATATTTGGCGCAGTAATACCTTATTAGCCATGCAAAGATTTAACAGGCATAATAAAGTACTTTATGACGGATTTCAATTTTGGACTTTACGATTAGCACTAAGTACTACCTCGTAATCTACCAGTGGACAAACATAAGCTGGTCTTTTAGGTTAGTTAACAAAATTTAAAAATAACAAAAATTATTAAGGAATTTGTAAAGTTGTTCATTACAATATTTATTTTACCTTAACAATCATAAGTCAACTTATGCTAAATTATTGTCTATAAAAAACGACATAGTATTTTAGAGTTAGGAAGAGTTTTCATCGTAAACTCTTTGCTTATCAAATATTGTATGAAAGTAAAATAAAAAATTTTAACTTATTTTAAGGTCATTATTAAATCTTAGACTAATAAAACTAAGCAGTTATCACAATGAAATAAGTTCAAAAAAGTTAAATTTGGGACAAGTTTTTGGTACATATTTTTTTTAACAAATAACTAAAAGCCTGATTTTTGACTGGTAGTATCTAAAATGAAGATAATTAAAATAAAAATATATTTTTAACAAATACATACATGTTTACAAGCAAAGAGAACGGGTGCAGTAGCAAGACCTAGTCGTAAATCAGCAGCTGTTGGTTTTCCCATTGTATCCGAAGAAGAAACAAAATCCAACAGATCATCAACAAGTTGAAAAGCCAATCCAATATTTCGCCCATACTGAAAAGCGACTTCAGCAAGGTTCTCATCAGCACCTCCTAACATTGCTACCTATAAAAAATAACAATTGGTTTTTGTTTTTTTAATAATTTTTAGTTAAAAATGTTAAAAGATTTAAGTGAAATGTCATACAACCAATGAACTGTTACAGAAATTTTGTTTTATTCATCAAAATTTTTATTAGTGTAGCACTTAAGAGCTTGAGTAAGGATAAAAAAATTAAAGATAAGGTCTCAAATATCCTTAACAAGAATCAGTTTAATCTAAGTAAAAGGTTAGGTGAGCTTCATATGTTTTGTATGTATTCAATAAAGACTTATGACTACTGTCACGTTTGTTGCCTTATAAAAGAATTGTTGTTCACGAAAAACAGTTTAATAATATAACATAATTGAAATATGTAAGACAATAAAAAGTCTTAAAAAACAAAATAAATGATTTAAAAAGTAATGAGATCAACAAAAAAAGTCAAGTTTTCAACTACTATCCTAAATCTGCATTACAATCATTGCAACACTTTAATAAGATACATATTATACTCCGAAACAACAAAGTATTAACTTTCTCAGTATTATCATGATTCATAAGTACTTAGTGATACATAATCCAGTTTCATAAGATCTTATTTTCATTATAACAGCGAAACTTGTCAATATTTTCAAAAATTATTACATTTTCAGAGCTCATTAGGCTAGCTTTAAACTTTTCTTTCGCCAGTAATTAAAAATATGTTTCGAAAAAAAAACTTATTTGTGACCCTAGAGGTTTTTTGGATTGCTCAATACGAATAAAGCATTTTTAATGCGAAGTTTAATGTGGCAGATTGAATGTGGCGGCTAAAGAAGTAAAAAAGTAGGAAAAATTAGAGCTTTAAGTAGCAATTTTCTAAAAACTAAAGTTGTTGAGACTAGTATTTATTCTTTCGCTTACTAAATTGGTATACTTTGTTCAAATAATTTTGAAATTTCAGAGATTTTCATCATTCCAGTTAAAAATCGCTAAAGTTACCTTAAGTGCGTATTTTTAACTTTATTCCGATGGTTCGGAAGCCATACCAGATATCGGTCGCCATTACTGTAATCGATTGATTCACAATAAATCCAAGAAAATTTTTAACATACCTCTGACAATATCATATATGTGCAAGAGTAATACAGCAACATAGGGCCCTTATACGCATTACTTGTCAGAGTGGTTGTAAAATACATGAGAAAAAAAACTGAAAAATTAATAGCTTGGACTAGAAGAAAGGTAGATAACAAAATTTAGAAAAGTAAAGACAAGAATATATATATATATATATTTTATATACATAAAAATACATAAATCACCTAGTATAATAAACTAATGAAGTCAATACTCAAAAAAAAGCATTATAAATATTTCTGTGTAGTAGCGCAGCCTTGACGAGATAACTGTATTTAGTAATTAAAGCCAGTTAAGTAGTATCACAGCTTTAATAAGGTAAAAGTCATTTATGCACTGAGTAGGCAAATGTGCAGAAAATAAACACGTGTTAAACAGCACTATAAGACTAAAAGTACAGTAAGTAATGCCATAGCTAATGCCCAAAATTTTTGGGAATTCGGTTTCTGTGGACAGCAGTTTTGGTTAAAGCAGTTGAACCTAGCCATAAATTATTTAAATAACATTTAGTTAAACAATCTCTAGCCTTGAACACTAGGCTTAAATGGAACTATGGAACCTATACAAAAGGGTTAGAAAAAAATACATTAGATACACAGCCTAATAAGATCGGATATCAAAAGAAGAAGAGTCTAAAACATCCATGGGACACCTACGAAACCACAAGTCAGGTAAGTGAGAAAAATCAAGCAAGTAGTGGAAAATAAGCAAGCAATAATTCGCAATAAAAGCGGTCGAAGAAAAGTTTGCGCTTACTGCTAAAATAATACCAAAGGAAAAGAGAAAGGGACGTTACAACTGTAAGATGAAACCTGATGGCGACAACATCATTTGAAAAAACATTAGAGTAAAAGATTAATTGACTCATAATAAACTGTATTATCTTTATTTTAAATGGACCAACAGAGTAAAATTCTTGAGTCTTAAAATAGACAACTGTGCTGGTAAGGATGCCAAGCAGCTATAATACTGCACAAGAGCAGTAAGACAAAAGCAAACGTCTTACTGCAGAATGTCAAATAGGTCAATACTATAGCTAAAGTTGTCCAGCTACTTCTAAGCGTGCATTTCATCTAATTCTAAGTGAACAGTAAATATTATATTTGTTGTACATTTTCAACATGTTAGCACGCAAGCTCATATAGGGGTAAATGTAGGTATTACTGTCACTTTTTTCGCTTAGGACATACGTAAAAGCTTACAACATAAGCATGTATTAATATATAAACTTTATTTTTTGTTTAATTAAAAGCTTTTGTACTCAGTGACCATAGAATAATCATTTAAATGATAAAAATTGTAAGGTATAATTATAATTAGGCCTTTATTCAATTAGCCAAATGCTGGTATTACTGCCATTGTGTTTGTTTCACTGATACCGAATTACTGTCACAGCTTCAATTACTTTAACTACTTTAATTATTATTATCTCGGTTTTTTAAAAGTATAAAACTGGATTATCATCAATTAAATGGTATAATGTAAGAAAAATTAATAAAATTTAATTTATAAATTCTGAAATAATAATTCTTTTTTTAAATGAGCTATTGACATTTAAGTCGTTCATACGCTATTGAGACTTGTATGCTATCATCATAAAATTTATAACGTTAGAAAAAAACATTAAGTGAGATTAATTCATTTATTAAAATAGTTAATAGTTATAAAATAATATTTTATTGAGACCTTGAACTCTTTAATGCTTATAACATAACTTTTTTCTAAAACATTTAACTTTCACGTACAAAAATTAATAATTATACATTAGTTACAGAGTGTGATTGCTTCTGCAAATTACTTATTTGTTTAGTCAAACAATCTTTTTTATTTTATTTTAATACTTTAGTTTTTGTTTACTTATGTTTTTCTTCAAATCATACCACTAGTTGTTGTCACTTTACTCATTTACTTTTTTTTTTTTCAATCTTTATTTTACTTTTTCAAATACTTTTCTTCCTGCTTTTTTTTCTTTCTCTTTCTTGCTTTTTTTTCTTGTTTTCCTGATTTTTAACTTTAATCTGTTTTTTCAACAAAACTTTCTCCTCCTTGATACATTTCTGGGTCTGTATCCAAGAGAATTATAAAAATAGTGCAAAAAATTTAGAGGGATCGTCACTCTCATTTAACAGCATATCAGTAATTTCAAATTTCTTAAAGGGACTAATATTAAGCCTGGATTGTTAAAAGCACTTCAGCTCAGCATGCTAAATAACTCTTTTGGATTTAATGCTGGATATATCGTTTCAATATTTGTTAAAACTTACCCGTATATTATGTATTTTCTAGATAAAGACAATATCATACCTCAAAATGGACTTACAACTGTTAGAAATAGTTAATTATATTAACACATATTATTTACAAAATTGTAAAATAGTTATGGGTATAACTATACTGATAGAGATTTTCACAATAATATTAATAATAACCTCCACTATGTAAAATAATAGGTCAGCTGCAATGTGCCTATGACAAAATAACCATTAATCTCCACGTTGGCTCATAGAAGGTCTTAGTTCAACAAAATTGTCATCTCTAATTGTCAAAAACTGTAGCACCTAATTTTTATGATAGACTCTCTTGACAGTCAAACACGATTTCCAAGACTGTAAAATAATCGTCAAACATGTTGTACATGATTGCATAATCATGCTTATTTAGAAGCAGTTTCAAGCAAGTCAAACATTTTTGTTTAGTTTAATGTAAGCTTATGCTAAAAAATAGGCCGTGAAATTTATTGATCTTCTAATTGCCACGCAAACTTTTAAGGATATTAAAAATGACTGTTACTTATTTGAATATACTTACTTATCTTTTATACATTTCGTTACTTAGATTAAAACAATATTCTAAAGACTGTGTTACATTTATGCATTAATATATGTTTACGTCAAAGAAGATTTATACTTTATAATGTATTCAAAGGTTGTTATCTACAGGGACTGAATGTACTCTTATCTAATCTTATCATACTTAAAACTAAATCTTCTCGAACGTTCACATAAAATTTTATATAAATATTGTGCTCTGCGTAGCACAGTCAGACCAAGTAAGCGCTACTGCTGAGCTGAATGCTTCACTCAGTCAGCAAATGTACATACCGATTGATTATAAATAAATGCCGCTTTTAATTTGAACTTTAAATATCTCGTCTATCCTTTTGCAAAAATCTGCTTTCGACTAGGTCTGGGCTTAGCTTGCAACGGAAACGGCCCTTCCACAAATACTTTTGCTAGGAGAGCACGTGGTTCCTTGGAACAAAAAGAGTTGAGGCAGTTTTGGAATTAAAGGCGCAAGAATTCCTGTATTGCTAGAGTCAGTGCTATGCGTGTGAGTATCGATAAAGCTTAAAAGTCTTGAATTTGTTAAGTGTTCTTCAGCTGCAAGTACAAGCAGTTTATCTGCGTCCAGGATTCGCCAAGGCAAGCGGATTCGTCACCTTGGAATCTCGTACACACCGCTGTACAGAGTTTAGACATATCGCTAACGCTAGATCAACTGGGTATTCGCCAGCAAGAGTTGTTCGGTAGATTTTCTCCAGCGTACGAGAATCTACTTAAGCTTGGACAAAACAACATGACGCGACAAGCTATAGACAATTGCCTCGACAAGTTACGCGCTAACTGGAATGAATTCTTGCAGAATCACTTCCATATTCTGGCGCTGTGCACGGAAGTTACAGCGAAGCTCGAGTATCTTAAGTCAGATTGCTATCGCCTTGCAGAAGAAGGTTACTTGTAATCAGGTTGAGGTATGTCAATAAAGTTACAAAAGCCACCTTTAGATCCAGTACCGCCACCTTCGTTACTTGCTGTTTCTGAAGTGCCAAGAAATTTGTCTGCAGTACCAGTGCCTACATTTTTGGAAAACTTTTGCGACTGACTCAAATTTAAGGACTTGTCTTC